AATTTATCGATATTTCATGAGAACAAGGCTCGGATTGTTGCAGCTGGTGCCATAGAGCATCTTGTAGAGTTGATGGATCCAGCAGCTGGAATGGTGGACAAAACAGTGGCTGTTTTGGAGAACCTTGCAACAATTCCTGAGGGAAGAAATGCGATTGGTCAGCAAGGAGGGATCCCTGTTTTGGTGGAAATTGTTGAGTTGGGTTCTGCCAGAGGGAAAGAGAATGCAGCTGCTGCTCTTTTGCAGCTTTGCACGAACAGTAACAGGTTCTGCAACATGGTGCTTCAAGAAGGTGTTGTGCCGCCATTAGTGGCGTTGTCACAGTCTGGCACTCCCAGGGCTATAGAGAAGGTAAAACTGTTTTGGTTTTTTCCTTTTGAATTTTGTTTGGCGTAGATGCTAAAATAAGCAGACTTTTTCCTTATCACTTATGAATTATGATAACAACTATCTCGAAACTCTCATTCCTTCATATTCGATATATAGTACCTATAATTTCATCGGTTGCTTTTATATGACAAACAAATGCATCATAGTCCTATGTCGAAACTCTCGTTCCTTCTTCTCTTAGTGCCGATCGCCTAGGAACTGATATGTTCAAGTACAATGAGTCAAAAGGGGCCATTGCTCATTTATGAGGTTTTGATTCGGGATAAAAGCCATATACATAGGGTGTGTATATTTGTTATCATGAATTTGCAAATAATGCAGATGATCATCTCGCTGATTTAGATAAGTTTTGCTTGTAGATAGATAGTAAACAAAATTGATTTATTAGATGACTTGATTATGTTGTTTTTAAGTGGAATTGAAGTTGTTAACAAGTTAATTTGGGAAATGAGTATATATCTGGTTTACGTTTATTCCTACTAGCACTGGGCCCGGCCCTTTGGCCGGCTAGAGGCCCATAAATCCAACAATAAGGCATCCAGGTTTCTAGGCAAATAAAGGCCCAATGTGTTCTGCTTGACCTTTATAACCCAATTAAAATTATTTAACTAATAAATAGTAACCCAGAAGAAAAGAGGAAAACGGTTCAGTTTCCTTCTTCTCCTCCATCCCTCTGTTCACTCGCCGACGAACACAGCAACCGGCCACAAATTCATTGCATGGACGCCGTTCCGTGTTTTCCTGCCTCCATGACAGACTGCATTGTCAGTTCCAGCGGTTGATTTCCAAACCCGACCACGCAACATCGTTTCCTTCATTCTCTCAACAGGAGCGAAGTTCTTTGGAAGCTCTGATAATCCAGTCGACTGTACCCAAAACGATTCCAGGTTAGCTGAAGGTATATGCATCTAAAGAGGACTACACATACTGTCATTGAACGTTGTGTTCTCCCGATCTAGTAACATCTTGGATTGTAGAAAGTCTTGCAGTTCGAGAGTCCGAGGAAAATCTTGCGAACTCCACAGGTGCATTTTTTCCAGGGTTTCTCATACAATGTGGTTTGATCTATTACCATAACGAACATGATTAGTTATGATTAATTCGATTGTAACACAACATTAATCCATAGGTTGAGGAAGTATATTTCAATACTATTTGAACATGGATATCATACCTGAATGGAACCCGTGAGTAGGGATGGCAAAAATATCCGTAACCGTGGATATCCACCCGAATCCGGCCTAATCGGGTAGGGTAAAACCCGAACCCGAAGGACATTTAGTGGGTACGGTAAACCCGAACCCGAATATTGCGGGTAATGGGTGGTTATGGGTTTCTAACTATCCAACCCGAACCCGCCCGATTATACGCATGCATGTGTATTTTCTCTAGAAATAATTATTATTTTTCCCTAACATATTTTATATTTAGCATATAAATATAATATTTTCATGAAATTGTGTTGTTTTAGTTAATTTTCTTCATTCTAGTGAACTATTGTCGTACTTTTCCTCTTACGTAATGTGAGAATACGTGTGAATGTTAACATATTGGTTGGAGTTATAAAGAGAAATTATTATCCATGAATAACCGTGGATACCCGAAACCCGAACGGGCATGGGCATGGTTTTATTTTTGTACCCGTTTCGCATGTGGGTATGGGTATGGGTAAAACCCGAACTACTTCGGGTAGGGTAACGGATATGCACTATCCGTCCCCGACCCGACCCATTGCCATCCCTACCCGTGAGTTATTGCTTTTTAAGTAACTCATAATAAACATATTCTTATGTTCTTACCATTTCTCAATTCGATTGCTAATATTGTTAATGACCTAAATTATAGGTTTTTTACCATGGGAGACGATTTCGTTTCGAATCTAAATTATCAAACTGCCGTTGCAATTTCTCAAACCGTGGAAACTATAGATCTTATCCCAATGCAATTGGATGGTGCTCATCAGGTGACTAAGATCGCATGTTTATTCTCTATGCTTCTCTATATGTTATATCAATGATTTGCATCTAATTTGGTATTATTTTGATCTCTTCTTGGTATGGATTATATCAGGGCAATTCGTATCTTTTCTCTGGAGTTGTAACAGAGTTGAGGAGATCTTGGTGTGAGGCATCGAGGGTGTATTTGATTCACTTGACCATTGAAGATGACATTACTGATGTTGAGGTTGTGTTCCCATCAGCTTATTTACGGAGAATCATGTCTTCTGTTGTCAGTCGTTCTGAGCTTGAAAGTGCGGACTATGTTACACTTCTCAATTTGCTTGGTGAGAAGCCATATGAGGTCTTGGTGACATTCGGTCCTTGGAACAACGTGGGGAACTATTTTAATCTCTTCTTGGTAAAGTTGTTCCCGGCTGTAGATAACTAAGTAGCATTGGGTATTATTAATATGATCGGATTAATGTTAGTAATGGTCCACCTTTTTGTAATCTCTAATGATCTGTAAGCGTAATGTATATGTGAACGCTACTAACTTTTGTAAGTTAATTATCCTTTTGAGGTGGGCGTAATGGATATGTCAACGCTACTAACTTTTGTAAGTTAATTATCATTTTGAGGTGGTACTTGATGTAAAATATAAATTTAATTTAGTTATGGTACTTTGAACAAATGAGGCTTTATTTGATTTTTCCCTATATTATTATTTAAAAAGGCAACAAATGGTAGTTCATCAGTGAAAAGAAGACGAATTAACACTTAACCAAGTTCAAATAAATAGTACTTAGAAACATAGGCTGAAAGGTGCATTTCGTATATTAGAACATCTAGCAAATGATATGTGGGGAACAAAAATACACAAAATAACCTAACAACCACTAAAAGACACTGATTGTTTAGTACGGTAATAGTGCACGAAGAAGCACATGAGATTTGCTTCCCATATAACATGCATCATGAAGTGTAAGTAAAAAACTAAAGGGTTGCCCTCTAATGGATTTCAAAGATTGCGCGAAGTTGTTGTTCCAGCGGTAATCGTCATTGGTTGGAATGACGGCAAGTGTATAATAATCAAGAATTCTAAGTTGGATAATAAGCATCACATGAATAATGTGTTGCATGAATAATATATTGGATGAACTTAATCGAAAACGTTTAATATGTTTTGTTAACTTACAGTTAAAAATTGATAAGTTATAGTATTTCGAAGGGAAGTTGAAATTAAATACTTGGGTTGTAATCTTGTAAACCTAATAATAAGATGTTGCAACCATAATAATAAGCATTACATTGGTAACGTGTTGCAAGAATGGTACATGAGATGAGCAGAAAAATTGTAAATAGAAATACCAACTTAGCCCAACAAAAACTGACAATTGAATTTGGTATTTGAAATTTAACCATTAGAGTAAAAAAAAAAAAACAATAGAACGGTTTATGAAATGAAATTCATTATTGGAACCAAAACTTAAAAAATAATTATTTTAACAAAGTTGCCCCAGCCTACCTGCTCTGTTTTTTTTTTTTGACAATTCATCTGTAATCCATAAATTAAAGTTCAGGGATTACATTGGAATCTTGCAAGATAAGAGGGACTAAAATGATAGGTGGTCTTGAGAACCAAGTCTCTGTTTCCTCCAATCTGGATTTCACTAGAGCCATTTCGTGGGCATAAACATTTCCTTCTCTTTTCCAGAATCTCCATTCCACTCTTCCAGCTTCTTCTGCGATCTCATAGATCTCATCGCAAATTATAGCCACCTCCAGATCTGTGAACTCCCGGTGGTTTAGCTTCTGAATTAGGGTTTGGCAATCGGTTTCCTTCAGCACCGGCTGGGAATAGTGTTGTCGAGTGAGCTTCAAACCCCACATCATCGCCTGTGCTTCGGCTATTTGGATCTATCGTCTGCCTGCTCTGACGGCGAAATTGCCACATCAAGCCGTCCCGTGGCTTCTCAGATGGAATTTCAATGGCCGGATTCGCGATGACACGGCTTATCGTGACTGCGAGAACCAACAAGATTGATCTCGGTGACGATTATGTTGGTGACGCAGCGGCTTCCGATGATGGCGAAGGGTGTCTGCAACTTGGACAAGATTTGGGTCGTCAGTTCCTCCAACAACTCGTATAATTGCCTGCTTTTCCCTTCGCCGGTAGACATCTTTGGAGAGATAGGAATAATCCAGATCTGAAGAAGACCCAGAAATTGATGCATTCATGTTCCAGGTAACTTTATTTGGCTTTCATCGTTAGGTCAATGTTAATTAAACGAACTCGGAATTGATGTAGAGAATGCTAACTTGGTATTACTAATTTGTCTAAATAGACTAATTTGCGGTGTGTGCCTGATGTTAGAGAGTTGTGTGGCATTGTAATTTAAGTTTCACACAACATTGATTTGTTTTGACGATTATGTGTCTTAGATCGAAAAACTAAGGTGTGGTAGAAAAAGAGAAGTTCAAATTGTTTTGTGTAGAAATCGAAATAGTAAATCTAATAAACCAACAATCAGAAACACTCTCATAAGCAATAATAGTGGAAAACACGACCAAGTACAAAGATGATTAAATTAATAATGCATGCTGTGAAAGTTTTAATAAATAGTAGAACCGTCAAGGGAATGAAGTGCAAATAGCCATCTCATATGTAAACTACTTGAATAACTTACGGAGGACTAAATTGAAATCATTAGTCACGGGGTTAAAGTCGCCAACTTCAACCATGAACTTAAAGGAATTGCCCCTTAGATAAGCTAAGAGGTTCCTGAAATTGTTGGACCACTCCTTCTCACTCTCCTCAATGATACGACTTGCTATCCAACGGAATTTCCCAGTTGTGAAGATAAACCTAACTTCATCAACACCATTAGCAACAATCATACGCACGATGTACTTCAATTTCTCAGTTGACCAGAAAACATCAACATTCTGTACTTGTCTACCACAAATGTAAAGTCTTCCCTGTTATGTGAATGTGAATGAAAAAAATATATTAAATCACAAATAATGCCAAGATTTTTTATTATTAAATACAGTGAAACTCTAAATGATTAATCAAATCCCGTTAAAGTGGATAAAAAATGCCCAATTCAAAGCTGCCATTTGAAAATCTTGCAAACTTCCAATGAAAACGTCCCAACATCATGCATGTTTCTGATTTTCCCCTGACTGAAATTTGACCATGTCAACAACACTATTATCAATTTGGTAAATAATCAGTTTTTTATTGTTCGGATAAGCTCTAATAAGTTAATTACTATAAGGCAGGAGGGGAAAATGAGACAGGAAAACCATAAAACAGTAGAAAAACCTACCTGATTATTGATATCATTCTTGTAGAGGTTCAGTTCTGGGATTGAGCAGGGTGTGCTCACCCATAAAGCATCATCAAAGGTATAATCAATGGCCAGATTTGCATTTGCCAAACTATAACATGAGCAAATAGGTTCGAAATTGGTGTTCAGACTAATAAAACAACCTAACTGGCGGGTGTAACGTAGAAATTAAATGCTTACTTATGAAGCAGAGGGTGTGCAATCGGATAGTGCAAGTTCCAATAAGTCTTTGTTGCATTTGAGGCCACACAATATGGTTGGCCTAGAATGAGAACATACAGAAATTGTGAAAGTCACAAAAAATAATTATTTCCTACATAAAAACCAACCTTAAACACCAAAGTAATTATACTTACCATTGAAATGGTGCACAACAACAGAAGTAAAAACCACAACAGCTCCTGGGGTTGGATCATTCGGAATCGCATCATCAAAGTGGTCAATTAATTCATCCCATAACACTATTTCCACAATAGGACCTCTGTAAAATAGGAAAAGCAGGGTATTTAGAAATCCAAACGTAAGTAAGCAGTAGTAGTATAGTTGTTTTTTTAGATTAGAAAACCACGAACTGCATCATCCTAAGTAGAACACTCTTCCGCCTCAATAGAGCAACATCTTCAAATAAGGCTTCTTCAGGGTCCGCAAGAACCAACACTCCAATTATATCTAAGCATACACAACATTATTAGAGCTCAAAACAAAAAATGGAAAAAATAAATGATGCAATGACAAGCTCATAATTACCAGACATGTAGGCATGATTGTGAACTGCATTAGGAAGATCAGAAGCATCCAAAAATCGGAAATTGTAGGCAGGTATGTCATGTCCATTAGGAAGCTCTTCAACAAAAGTCTCCTGATGTAAACAGATTCGGAGTGTGGCAGGAGAAACTCAATTGTCATCTTCATATGGTCGGACATGAAAGTTAGTGATTCTGTAAATCTTTCCCTCATTCAGTAGAAAGGGATCAAACAATGGTATCTCATCCGTATCAATCAACCCTTCAATCTCCGTTCCCTGAAACCACAATGGATTTCAATTCAGTGATATCTAAAGTCCAGTTTCATCTAAAGCAAGTAAAAGAAAAAAACAGAACAAACCTGGTTATCGACAAACAGCATATGAAATTGTTGAATTGTGATCCCGTCAGGTCTCATTGTCCGCCATAAACGAAGCAGCCTAACACGAACAGCAGAATCGTCATTGTGTTGATTGAGAAGGGCTAGACTGAGCAGCGGCATCGCATATGTGAATGAATGAAACAGAGCTACGGGGTGGTCAATTGTCAAATGTTATAACTGCCTGCAACTTCTGATTATATAGATTTTTAAATTAAACATAGCCAATTGATGTAAATAAGTGTGGATGAACGTGGGTCTGGTGTGGTGAAATGGGAGAATGGTAATTAAAATATTATTTTTTTTAAATATTACTTAAATATAATGAATGGATAACGTGGGCCTTTTTTATCCAACCGCCAATTTGGGCTTACTTGGGTCTTTTTTAGTATGTAGGGCATAATTAGTCTGCTTTGGTTTATTTTATTTCGGAAGTTATCTATGAATATGATGTTGGAACACTTATGAAAAAATTATGTACACTTGTAAGTGAGCATAGAAGGAATGGCTGATTTAGCATAATTGAAGGCTTCTAGTAGTGTGTCTCCAGATAGAGTTGACTGGATTCTAAGTTTCAGTATGAATGGGAAAATTAATGCAGGGTTTGGTCAGATTGATTGTGCATATTGCAACCTTGATCTAGGCACCATGTGGAAATGGAGGCAGTCAATGATCCTTTCATTGATTTTAAGTACATAGCAAGAAATGCCTTAGTAACTATTAACATGGAGTTTTCCCTATATGCCAAATGAATATGAACTTTGGTAATGTCAAAGTTGTTTAATTTAACTGGATTGTTCTCTGAAATGTATTTCAATATGTTTCATTTTGTAGTTGATGATGAATTCACATGAGTATAGTTGTTCCCGCATTGAAATCTGAAAGCAAAGCACATCTTTTTATTTTGTTTGAAAATAAATTCTAATCCACTATATTTTATTCATTATATTCAGGTTTACATGTTCAAGTATGATTCTACTGACCGCCGATGAACGAACAACAAATGAAACTGGCCTTTGTGGGTTTGCTCTGCAGTCATGACTTCTGCTACTGACCAGTGGCAAAACAACACTCCACTCTGATGGATTTCCATTATTTTCGATCAAAGGCAGCCTGTGTTTTTTCAGTGTACACCTCAAGTCCTATAACAGGATGATGAGGCCATTGCTGACCGAAATTGGTTACTAATTTGACGGAAGAAGAATCTAATGTATCATTATAATATTATCAAGGTTTAATACACTTGTATATCCAAAACTTTCACGGTTGTGCCAATAATATCCAAATTTTTTGAAATACCACTTATATCCATGTTTTAAAGTTGTTCTTTGCCAAATCTATCCATTTCCCAATATATTTTTGGTTAAATACACTTGTATATCCAAAAACACCGTTAAAGAATGTGAAGGAATTGGATATAAGTGGTATTTCGGGAAATTTGGATATTATTGGCACAACCGTGAAAGTTTTGGATATACAAGTGTATTTAACCTATTATCAAAGTACTTAAGTTTGATTGGGAAACGTTGGATTGAGATTATATTTTCAGTTTATCAAACTCAGAAGTAGCAACAGTTGGTATAGTAGAATTGGGTTCATGACCAGGGTCGGAGATGGAAATATTCTTCATGGAAACAATCAAATTCATTACGGACTACAAATTTATCAAACTATTAATGAAACATGAGCTGGCCGAGACATGGAGTTTTTCAGGGGTAAGCTGTAATCTGTTGGCTAGAGTTGTTTCACATTCTGTGTCAGAATTACCAGGTACTTCCATCCTTACATCCGAGGATTTGCTACCAGTTGGTTCCTCTATATTACAATTCTGGCTACCATTTTGTGGATTCTCATTGCTGGGAACACTTATGCAGTCAAGCATATCAGGAAATTCGTCATTCATTCCTGTACCAACTTGCCTAGATGAGTCCGAATTCACATGACGATCTCTAACTGTCAAAGCATCTTGCTTGGTAACAACCAGCGATTCATGTAATTCAGGAAGATCTACATAATTTGATGCATCTCTGAAAGATCTATCCATGTTCAACTGACGACCATCAACTTCCAAAGTATCTTGCACCATTGAGCTGCGTTTAGAGGAAAACAAAGCTGAAACCGGAGTTTCGTTTCCGCAAAGCTTATCAAGTTGATAAGGAACCCCTGTAGCATAACAACAACAAACCTACAGCACAAAAAGAAAACAGAACCCTTTTTTGCTTGACCATTTTTCTTACTCATGTGATGCATACTAAAAATCCATCCACTCAAATTACCAAACAAAGAGGTACTTCTAATAAACGGAAAGGCATAAAGTCCTTGAAATAAGGAGTGAATGTTCAAAACTTGAGACACACCAAAGGGGAAAAACTTTAGACACACCAAAGGGAGTAAGGAAAAAGGAATCATCCGGATACATAGAAATCAACTTAGAAACAAAGAAATCAGTGGCCTCGCACCCTCCAAGGAAGCATCATTAAACCGAAGGCATCTTTCGCTTGAGTTTGTTGTCAACAGGCATAGATCCAGTATCGTCGGCTGTTGAAATGGGGATTGATTGGTCAGATGAAGTTTGGGATGACTCAAGGCCACTACTAAGCGATGAGGAGGAGCTGTCCTTGTGCAGATTAGACTCCGAACTCATGTATTTGAAATAAAAAAGGGAAGACTCTTACCTTCTTGGATTGCAAAATGAGAACAGTGTTTATAGGTTCAGCTTAAGATCCAGTAATGGATGAAATGCTTTTGGATGCCAAATTGCAAACATGCAAATCCGTGGTTCAACTTCATATTCTGATCCAATGATGTATACTTCTGCCATGAATTTGATGTTTGACTCGCTAAAACACAACACCTAACAATGGCCAAGTGTAACCAATGAAAGGGACTGCAGTATAGTGGCACAAGTAATAAATATCGAATCCACGGGTCTCTAGAGTTACTATTACTCAGCTTCAGTTCATTATCTAGCAAACTAGATTAAGGATTGATTAACTAAACTACTCTACTAACTAAACTAAGTAAAACTACTAATTAAAGTTTGGGAACTCACTTAGGTATGATTCCCCCTAGCTCCTCAATCAGGTCCAAGCTGTAATTCCTTTTGGTTGATTTACTGTTGATTAAACTGCGGAAGATCCGACAGTAGCTTGGAATCTCTTAAGCTGACCAAGCCCTCTCAGTCTAACTATCCGGCAGACGACTAGTCTTCACCGGGATAGAAAGCTGAAGCAATAAGCACAGAACTCCACTACTAGAATTGGATTCTAGTACAAAGCAGTAAACTGGCTAACTCTCGTATAGCCAATCTCCTACTACCGAATGATGAGACTCTAGCAACCTAATCAGATTCTATCTATCTCAGATTGCAGCAGGAATCAGGAAAAGTTGATCAGACTTCAATTGACTCAATAAACATGCATCATTCGATTATAATCAAACAATATAGCATCCAAAACTTCATACAAGAAAGATCCTAACTCATGGAACTAAGGTTCCTCAAAACCTAAGTGAAGGGAAGTTACTCCATAGAGAAGAGAGATACTGCAGAAATCTGATCTAGATCTTCAATCTCCATCTCCAAGCTTGATTCCCGAGCTCCAATGGCGAAGAAATCCTCCAAAATAGCTCCAAGAATGCTCCCAAGTCGCTCTCTCTCTCTAGGGTTCGTCCCTTGGGTGTTTGGGATCCAAAACCCAGCTCTCTTCTTCTTTGGTTCGGAATTTGGCTTAAAACCAGGAAATCCCGACTCACACGGGCAGGGTGGCACGGCCGTGTGGCCTACCCAGTTGCCCGTGTGAGGCAAAACGCACCGTATCACTTAGTCGAATTCCAGGCTTCTTACACGGCCAGGGTGGCACGGCCGTGTGTGACTTCCTTCTGCCCGTGTCTGCTCTCGGCGAATGTGGCACGGCCAAACCGGCCACTTGCACGGCCGTGTCAATCTGCTGCTCTGCCCGTGTCTGCTCTCGCAGAATGTCACACGGCCAGACTGGCCTCTCGCACGGCCGTGTGAACATCAGGGTAGCCCGTGTGACCTCCTTTGAGACTTGTCTCGCGCCCAATCTTCGCCCAATCGACCCCGAACTCGCTCCTAAACCTTCTCACTTGCCAGGACCTGAAATATCACAAACAAGCACAACCTAGCGTGAAATCGGTCTAAAACACGAGAAACCACCTCTCAAACGGTGTAAGAACAGGGGTGAAAACATGTGTAACTAACGGTCTATCAATGTTACAGCACTTTTTCAGCATCTGAACTCTCTTGTCATATGGCATTTTTGTAAACTCGATCGGTGGCTTACGAAGCAGAGCAAGAGCAGGTCCATGATTAAGAATGACCTTTGCCTTGTGATTTCCTGATTCACATTCAGCCTGCAGTTCATAGAATAATCTGAAAAAATATGTAGATTAGATGCATTTGGTCAATGTATAGTATTTTTATAATAGGGAATCAAAAATCAAAGGTATCTGGAAATACTCAGTGTCTCCAGGGAAAACTTCACGGGTCACAGAACCAAGCTCGAATTTGACTATTTTCAGTTTGCACCGATACAGTATCTGTCAAATAGTTTGATATAGAAGAAATACAAAAATTAGAAATAGGTGTTTTTGAAAATACTGCTACTGTTGATTATCAAATTTGAAACTTCTTTGTATTTGTCAAATAGTCTTCCTTGACAAATGTAAAACAGAGCATAGAAGGAAAATATAGTTACCTCTGTTTCTTCTTCTCCTAAAGGCAGCTTGTTGATCAATTCTAATAATGAGATTCTGGGCGGAATGTCGCGCCGAAGGTATCCAAGCCGCTCTTTTGATTTGTAGTCAATGATATCCACAGGCAGTCTATTAGGAAAGAACCTAGAGTGTTTTGAAAGTTAAATTAGATTGCTTCTAGGAAAAAATATGCAAAATATATTAAAAGTGAACATATACATATAACCATTTACCTATTCATTAAATCTTTGGTCATCTCATTGTACGAATGTACTATAAGACGACTGCCAGGAGATGTTACGAAACAAAACTGTGGAATATGGTCATATTCGTGCATGTTTCGGGTGAGTGCTGTTGCTGTCACAACCAGAGGATAATGAACTTCTTTGGCAGTAGCACTTTCAATG